TCGATCCCCAGTGTGAGGCGTGCAGGAGGCAGCTGATCCGTGATTCTCTCTCATCATTGATGTTTCTGTCTCTCTCTCCCTCTCTCTCTCTCTCCCTGTCCCTTCCTCTCTGAATTCAATAAAAACATATATTTTTTAAAAATAGTAACATCTCTCTCTCCCTCTCCCTTCCTCTCTGGATTCAATAAAAACATATTTTAAAAAGTGTGTGTGAAGAAGTGGAAATCCCTTTCCACTGGCTGTGGGCCTGTCCTGTCACAATGAGGAGGCTATGCCGACGGCTGCCCAGGGCGATTCCCCGGGTTGGACCCTGGAGAAAAACTGTCTGAAAACCAGCCACCAGCCCGCATGTCCCTCCAGACAGAGCCGCTGTGAGGAAGGCCGATGGGAACGCGGGGACTCCGCGGCCTCTCTCTGCGTGTCCCCGTGCTTCCTCTACAAAAGCGCGGGCTGACGCGAGGACAGGAGACCTGGCCCCGGTGTCTACGGCACGAGGATGGAACGAAGCCCCGAGCAGGGCAGACAGTCCGTCACAGGCTCACTCCGCCGGCCTCAGAGGCCGGGCATCGGATACGGGTTTCAGGACGAAGCTGACCGGGCGTCACCATCCGGGCAGGACCCCGCAGACAGGACCTGCTGGAAAGAGGTTAAGGAATAAACTGGAGATCCATCCATCTGCGGCAAGGTGGGAGGTGAAGGGCGAGGCAGGGGCAGTTAAAAAGGAAGGAAAGGAGTTAGAAACAGAAGATAAGAAAGGACATGGACGGCACTCGGAAGCCTGGGTGTCGGGTCCCCTGGGCCGAGGTCTGAAGGGCCTTCGAGGCTCATCACATTTGCCGAAGGCGATCCTGAGCGCAGGGGCCAGCCACGACCTGGGAAGGAGGAACGGAAATAGGAAAGGAGCGGAATGAGGCAGGAAAAGTATCGGAAACGCAGGGCAGGGCGGGTGCAGAGGCGAAGGCAAGTGGTAAGTGACACAAGGAAGAAGCAATGCGCTCTGGCTGGTGTGGCTCAGTGGAGAGAACACTGCCCGCGGACGGCAGGGTCCCAGGTTCCATTCCGGTCGAAAGGCAAGTGGTAAGTGACACAAGGAAGAAGCAATGCGCACTGGCTGGTGTGGCTCAGTGGAGAGAGCATCTGCCGGCGGACGGCAGGGTCCCAGGTTCCATTCCGGTCGAGGGCCTGGACCTCGGTTGCAGGCTCCATCCCTGACCCTGAGGCACGTGCAGGAGGCAAACAGCGGATGTGTCTCTCTCACATCGATGTTTCTCTCTGTGTCTCTCCCTCTCCCTTCCACTCTCTCTAAAAATCAATGGGAAAGTATCCTCGGGGGAGGTGAACAACAACGACCACAAAGAATGTGCACTGTGACCGTGTAAATGATCATCTGAACCCGGACCCGCTGAGGGGGGAAGCGGATGCTAATAACACAGAGACGACAGGCCTCAGGGAGACCGTCCCAGACGGGGACATGACGTCACCGGAGAAACAAGGCCTTGAACGTGTAACTGAGCTCTGGAGTGCTGAGCTCAGTCTGGCCTTTAAAATCATGTTTCAGGCCCTAGCTGGTGTTGCTCAGTGGGTAGCGCATTGGCCTGTGGACTGAAAGGTCTCAGGTTCGATTCCAGTCAAGGGCACATGTCCGGGTTGTGGGCTCGATCCCCAGTAAGGGGACGTGCGGGAGGCAGCCAATCAATGACTCTCTCTCATCATTAATGTTTCTCCCTCTCTCCCTCTTCCTTCTTCTCCCTTCCTCTCTGAAATTGATAAAAAATATATTAACAAAATGATAAAATAAAACCATGTTTCGGTGACCTCTCGAGCTTCCTCTCGCTGCCCCAAGCCCCGTGCTTCTGCTGTCATTACCAGGTTAAACTGCAGGCCACTGACTACATTTTCAGGCCCAGGGCCCTGGGCAAACGCCTGCTTTTTTGCGAACAGAACTATTTCCTTTTCACATCACACTTAGGTGCTCTTATTGTTGTTGTTTTTATTTTATTTTTTAGAGAAAGAGGAAGGGAGAGGGAGAAAAAAACAACGATGCAAGAGAGAAACATCGATCGGCGGCCTCCTGCACGCCCCCTACTGGGGGTCGAGCCTGCAACCTGGGCAGGTGCCCTGATGGGAGTAGAACTGGTGACCTTTCGGTGCCTGGGACGATGTCCAACCCACTGAGCCACACCGGCCAGGGCCACACTTAAGGTTTAGCCTCTGGGATGAGAGGGATCCTGCTCCCCGGGCCTCTCTGTTAAAGGTGGTCGTTCGCAGAGAGATAAGCAGATGAAAACACAATATGGGGGTGACAGTGCCAGGGAAGAGCCATCACGGGGGAAATGGAATCACGCGTTCTAAGTACATGGAAAGGATGTGCAGATCGCACGGGGCCATCTGTCCATGAATCTCACCGTCCAGCGCCAACGCAGCCCCCACGGCATGCAGCGGGTGGGCTGTTTCTCTCAGTCGGCTTTACAGATGAGATGGATTCCCCTCTGGCCGGGGGCGGCTCTCCGATGGGATCGGAGGAGGGACAAGCCACTGACTCCGGTCCTCCCGTCCATGAGGCCATGATGCAGCACAGCCGTCACATCGGCGAGGAGCGCAGGCGCCTGCCCTGACCGGCCCCGACAGAGGCCTCGCTCCCGGGCAGGCAGGGGCGCGCCCACTCAGTCCCCACCAGCATCTTCTCGGTAACAAGAGACAGGACTGCATGTGACGCTCCCAGGTCACCCGTGTCGGGAACGGGCTCCCGGGCACACAGGGTGCTGAGGGGTCTCTCCTTCTAACCCGGCTGGACCCGTATTTTGCAACCGTCGATCTTAGTGGTAGAGAACAGTGCAAACACGCAGTAGGCCACGCAACACTCATGCAGGGAAGCGTGTAGTTCAGAGCCACGAGAAGAAGTGGTCAGCGATGGGGTGTCCCCCCAAATGCACGCCCACTTTACGGCGGATAGCTCCATCGATGTTTCTCTTTTCAGATCGAACGCACTGGAATGAGAAAGTATTCCAAGTGTGCAGACATTTTTGGGGGGACACCCTGCGTATCATTCATCAGTTCGATGACTGCTCTGCCGTCACACAGTCAGAGGCTTGGGGTGCAGGTGGCAGGCGGGAGCCAGAGCTAAAGACGGGAAAGCGCTGCCCCCTCAGAAAGCACCGCCCAAGTTCACAGCAAGTCCATGAGCCAAATACCGAACCCAGTCCCTGAGGGCAGAGCACAGGCAGGGCCAGCACCTGCCCCGAAAGCAGCCCCCAGAGCCTTCCGTGTGGCAAGTGCCGAGGGCTAGGCAGCACGCCAACTTCTGAAGCTCTATGCTCTACGTGAAATCTGTATCTCAGCCCTGGCTGGTGTGGCTCAGTGGATAGAGCATCGGCCTGCGGACCAAAGGGTCCCGGGTTCTATTCCGGTCCAGGGCACATGCCTGGGTTGCCGGCTCGATACCCAGTAGGGGGCATGCAGGAGGCAGCCATTCAATGATTCTCTCTCATCACTGATGTTTCTCTCTCTCTCCCTTCCTCTCTGAAATCAATAAAAATACATTTTTAAAAATAATCTGTATTTCACTCTTTGGTGAGTTCAGACAACACTGATGACACACACGTGGGGGTGACTTGCCACCAGACAAGGCATGTCACTGGCGGTTTATTTATTTGTCTTTGGAAAAATGCGAGAAAAAAGAGTAATTCATGTAGGAAAACAAGTAAAGTCATTCTAGCCCAGCCAGCGTGGCTCAGTGGTTGAGCATTAACCTATGAACCAGGAGGTCACGGTTTGATTCCCGGTCAGGGCCCAGGCCCAGGTTGTGGGCTCAATCCCCAGTGGGGGGCGTGCAGGAGGCAGTCGATCAATGATTCTCTCTCATCATTGATGTTTCTATCTCTCTTCCCCCTCCCGTCCTCTCTGAAATCAATATACAAAACAAGAAGAGCCATTCTAGCAGGGGCTGTTGGGTGGAGGGATGCTAAGTTACGCTTGTGTGTGCAAACACAGTGGAAAAATTAAGCCTATTTGGAAGATAAACGAGAACAGAGACTGAGGACCCAGATCCCTTTGGAGCCGTGGCCCTGCCCAGAGGGACGCGTTTTCTGTATTTGCCGGAGCTTTGCAGCTCAGCTCCAACACCAGTGCGCTCGGCGCACCTACGTTTATTGCCTTAATCGGAGGTGTTCGCGGCGGCTCATCCCCAGGACCCAGCCGAATAGCCGAGCGAGACAGTCCTTCAGGGGCCGCCCCTGCGCGTGCTCTTCGCTGCCCTCGGCAGGTTGGCCTCGGGACACCTAGGAAAGGTACCACAGCCATTACTCAGTGCCTATCGGTGTCGGCTCACTCAGCCAGACCGAGGCCGAGTCTGCCGCTCCTGGCTGCTCCCGTGTTAGGCCCAAGGCTGAGGTTAGATACGGCCCCAGGTTCCTGCCCTCCCAGAGGCTCAGAAGCAGCCTTGGCGTTGGAACGGGAGGCTGTCAGCCCGTCGGCGTAGGTTTGGGGCCTAAACAGAAGCCGGGATCTGTGTGTCAATGTCTTCCATTCAAGGACTCAGTCCTCAGCTCCCGCGTGAGGAAGCTGGGTGGCAGGTGGGCTTCAGCGTGTTTGCATGTGAGCCCTTAACCACAGAGTGTTCACAAGCAACGCAGCCCCTCAGAGACCCGGCTCTCGCATCCGTGCAATGGGAAGAAGACCACTTACATGGGTTTTATTTGTAATTAAGAGCAAATGAGATTATATATATATACACAAAGGTCCTGGTCTCCCCAAACATCTTATTATAGTCGTCAGTCAAAGCCACAGAAATAGCCTGACCAGCGTGGCTCAGTGGTTGAGCATCGATCTAGGAACCAGGAGGTCCCAGTTCGATTCCCTGTCAGGGCACATGTGCAGGTTTCGGGCTTGACTCCCCAGTGTGGGGCATGCAGGAGGCAGCCGATTCATGATTCTCTCTCATCATTGATGTTTCTATCTCTCTCTTCCT